AAGCAAGTATTAATACAAAACAAATTATTCGACAAGCATTCTAACCTTATCAGTGTTTGTTTCTAAAATATTTAATATTTCCTGGATGTCTTTCTCCTTTATCCATTGGTCAAATTGATCAAATCGATTAAACTCTTGGAATCTAATTATAATCTCTTTAAAATTTTTATTATCTATTGTTTGAAAAATTTTTATCAATAAATATAGCATAAATATATACTGACATATTAGATAATAAACTAGCCTATATACATACCTTTCTCAATATTGTGAATAGACATGTCTAATTGACCATAAAAAGGCTTGAACAAAAGTATTTGATTTATTTCTTGCTCTCTTGTTAAATTATTAAAGTCCTCAATTTTGACCTCTTTAATAATTTTCAATAAGCCAAATAAAAGTACTTTCTTAATTAGCTCTAATTTTGAAGCGTCAGCCTAAAATCAAGACATTCGAATATTTATTTTTTAAGTAAATTATTATCATATATAGTAGTATAAATAATTGATAAATTAATCAACCATTCTAATAATCCAGTGAATAAATTCTATTCCTTGTTTCTGCAAATTTATATTAGTTTTAGGACCTTAATAAAAAATATAAATATAATATAAATAAATTGTCACATTTTAATAGATAATTCTTTATAAATTATTTTAGCTTACTATATAGGCAATTAAATGAAACATATAACATAGATGGAAAAATATTTGCTATTAGCTTAGATTTGCACAGATAACACATGATTTTGGATTTAAGTAACAGCGATTGGTGCAATGATTCCTCTTGGCCTATTTTATATAAATTAATTAATAAATTAATTATCAATTATTATCGCTCTTTTCGATTTAGTTGGATATGCCAATTTTGCAGATCATTTTTTATGAGTCCCGTGAATCCTGTGAGTCCCACAATTATGTTATAGGTAACTACCTTTTATTCGTCGTATTCTGTGGAACTCATTTAACAATTAGTGATTATTTCTCATTTACTAATAGACTTCCTTTTTACAGACTCCTTTTACTAGCGATATATCAGGAATACATACGAATACCAGAAAATTCTGAATTTTTTTAAACTTCTAGCGAAAATTTCTCAATAACTATTCGATCAAATTCAGTAAATTTTTTTTTGTTTTGATTCTATATGTTCGTAGAATTAAAATAAAAAAAAGTTCATTGAATTTGGCTTAGTGGTTATCGAGAAACTTTCGCTAGAAGTTTTATTGCTCTCTTCGATTTAGT